TATTACTCGCATATACCTCAATTTTTTTTAATTGTATTGGTATCTTAATGCAATTAAATATGTACTTAATCACCTTTGATGCTTGATAAGTGTTTATCTGTATGGTAGTTTAGTAACTTTAAGTGGAATTTTTATTATTTTCAATTCATGCAAATCAAATGAGTCTATGTGTGAATGTGATATAAGGGAAACTGTATCATTTTCAAATCTTGCAACATTTGGATTAGAAAAGCAATTTGTTTAACTACAAAATTCAACTAATTGAATTATTTGTATGGTATGATATCATACTTTTATTTATTTTTTAAAACTTTTTTCTTGATAGGACATGCACAAAACATTAATGATGTTTTGAAACCATTTTATATATTAATTAAAAAAACGAACAAAGCATCCAATGATGTTGTATAAATATAATTGTTTAAAATTTTGATTAATAATTATAAATTTTAGTCTATGTTATTTTACTTTGTCAACCGGTACAAGTATATATATATATATATATATATATATATATATATATATATATATATATATATATTGTAAAAAAAACTGAATTTGGAAGCTTGCAAGTCATATTATTCATCTATTAATTGTCTTTGTCGTCTAGACACATGTCAGATAATAAATCTAGTTTAAGACTACAGATGATAAAAAAAAAGAGGAGTTTTTTAGCAAAAGCTTGCATATATATATATATATATATATATATATATATATATATATATATATATATATATATATGCAAGCTTTTGCTAAAAAACTCCTCTTTTTTTTATCATCTGTAGTCTTAAACTAGATTTATTATCTGACATGTGTCTAGACGACAAAGACAATTAATAGATGAATAATATGACTTGCAAGCTTCCAAATTCAGTTTTTTTTACAATAACACGGCTAAACCCAAAAAAAATTTACCCCATAATAACATAACAAAAGCTAAAAGTAATATATAAATATATAATCAAAATAATAACATAACAAAAGCTAAAAGTAATATATAATCAAAAGCTAGTCCACCATTCGCAAAAAACTAATAATAATAATAAATAAATGAAAATCCACAATATAAGCTTTGTGCGTGCACCCATCATCTTCTACTAACCTGATGTACATATAAAGAAAATAGACTTGTCAAACTAAATAACCCTTGTGAGTTGTGAGATAGATAGGAGCGTATATACTTTTTAGAAAAAAGATACAAAAATGGTCCCTATGGTTTACAAAAAAAAAACCACAGGTGGTCCTTAAGTACGGAAAACATTGCATATATGGTCCTTTTGGTTAACCCTTTTAAATATTTTGTAAAGTCGATGTAAATTACCTTTTTGCCCCTTTCTATCTTATAATGTAAAGTAAGTACCTTTTTGCCCATTTCTATCTCGTAATCAAATCTGATATGGAGGAAATTGAGGATCAATCTCATTTTAGCAGATCCTTCTGAAAAATAGATTATTCATTTGAGCTTCATCTTACCCTCTTATTCTTTGATGAAATTCAACTTGAAAATTGGAATCATAAGACATGTTACCCAATTTTAATTTTGAATTCCATTGACCCTCCGGTTGACCTTGTAGATTGGTGTTGTTGCAATAGCTGTGAAATTTTTCTGCCATTGGTAAGGTTATTGGTTGCCATGGATGACTGGAATTGTTCAGAGAATTGTGTCTGCAAACCCTTCATAATAAGAAGACAAAATTTCAAAAATGGTCCCTGTGGTTTGCAAAAAGTAGCAACTTAAGGATATCTTTTATTAGAGTAACACCGGTGGTCCTTGTGGTTTCAAAATCAAACATAGTTAGTCCTCTTAGCTAACTTTGTTAAGAAAAGGGGTTAAATATTTGTGAAATGAATTATTTACCCTTCTTTTATTCTTTTATTTTATAATTAAGCCTACATAACCCACAATTAATCCTTCCCATTCTCTTTTCTTCCACCGATGATCATCACTAACGCCACCCTTCCCTACTGTCAGTCTCCTTTGGTGACCAACATTTTTTGTGAAAAAAGGAACACAAAATATTCCCACGCCACCAGTCAACCCCCACAAAAATCTCTATTTGTTATTGCAGATTGTTATGAATAAAAAAAACCCATTTTGAATTCAAGAATTATAAAGGCAGTGATGCATAAAATCCCCATTGCAAAAGCTCTGGTCACCCCCATTTTACCTGACGGAAAAACCCAACTCGATTTTTTCTCTTGCTCGTATCTCAACTGCTAAATCGATCAAAGCCTTTTTTGCTCTTCGGATTTGACCTTCACCAAGACCTTTTTGATTATCCAAAGCACATAAAACAATATCCAATTGCTTCTGCCATTGTCTGATCTGCTCAATCCCATCTCTAATGGCGTTGCAAAAATCTAAACCCTTTATACTCCTTTCGAAATAATCAGAAATCAGTTTATCCATGGGTTGTTTGCTCAAAGAAGAATTGTAGTTGAATAATATGGCTTTGAATTCCTCTTGACAACACAGGAAAACATTCAAGGAGTTTTGAAATCCAAGAAACGGATAAAAGTTCATGTGAATCGACTGCAGATAACTCATGAAACCTTTGAGTTACCTGTCTTTAAAAAGCTTTGATTTTCTTTTCTTGATGTGGGATTTCATGGTCTATGGAGTGAACCCCTCATGAAACCTTTGGAGAAGATGAGCCTTGATAATCGGTTCACATTTTCTCTTCACATCAAAAGTACGAAACCCCACAAACTTGTTGATGAATTTATGTAGAAACACAAAACCTGAAGCTTTTTTTAGGCGATCACAAAGAGAAACTCAGGGGAGACAACAAAATTGATAGATTTAAATTTTGGCGAAAACGGGCGCTGATTTAATTGGGTAAACAAAAGCTTTGGGGATGTGGGGTAAGCAAAATCGGGGATTAATCATCGTCGTGTCCCTCGTCTTCATCATCTCCGGCTTCGATTTTCCTTTCCAACCTCTGACTTTCCTCCTCTGTCAACTCGATTCTCCTCTCCAACCTCCCGATTTCTTCTTAAATTATCGACGCCTACCTCAGCTTCATCATATCCAGCTGATCCGCCACTTCCCGCTTCTTCATACTCTCCGCAAAATCACATAAGCTCGCCAAGCTCTTCATCTAAGAAGTAAGAACGATGATCCAGATGGTAGTGACAAGATTTGGGTTAGCTCATGACCTGTATGTTGAAATTCTTGAAGGCGGTGCGAGATGAGAGATGAGACATAATTTATGATTCTCAAAGCAGAAAGGGATATTAAGGGGGTGTTTGTCTGAGAGCCAAAAGTTCTTTTTGAAAAGATAAAATGTAATAAAAGCATTTTAAAAGTACTTTTTGAAAAATAAAATGTAGTGACTTTTTGGAAAAGTGACTTTTTGATATAAAGAAAAGCAACATTTGGGAGTGTTTATGCACCCCAAAAGTACTTTTAGATTAAAAAAAATGCTTATAGTGGTGGTAAAAGGAATTTTAAAAAAAGCGTTTGAATTAGATTTTATGGTGAAAAAACCAATAAATGTTTGGCTGAAAAAGTGTTTTTTGAAGTTATTTTGGTTAAAAAGCCATAAACAGTTTCAATAAGCCAAATTTTACATGCTTATTAAAAAGTGTTTTTTGAAGTTTATAGAAAAGCTATTCTAAAAAGTGCTTTTGAGTTTGCCAAACACTTTTTTTAACTTACTAGTTTTTCAAAAAGCCAATAAATTGTTTTGAAAAACAATCCCAAACACCACCTAATTAGGGCTCTTTAGTGGATGTAAAATAGAGAAGATGGAAGATATATAATAAATTACAGAATTGTCCTTGAGGTTTATTAATTTTTTCAGATTTGATCAAGGGTATATTGGTCATTTTCAAAAAGGTAACTGTTCAAAAGTTATAGTTAACGCCTAAAGGACCTACCATGCAATAAAATGAAACCATGAGGACCACCGGTGTTACCCTAATGAAAGATATTCTTAAGTTGTTACTTTTTGCAAACAACCATTTTTGAAATTTAGTCTAGTAAGAATCCAATCCAGGCTCTGACTTTGTTTGATTCTGCTGACTTTGCAGCTTCTGTTGATGTTGTTGCTGGAATTGAAGAGACTGCTGATACTAAAAATCCATCTTTTCCCACCGCTAATTTGTTTAAATAGATTATTGTTTTCAGGTTAGCAAGAGAAAGAGGAAGACGGTTGCATTTTGCTTTTGCTCAGAAAGAAGAAAAGAAAGTGTCAAGGTTAAAGTTGTGGGTTTCAATGTAGGAGAGAGAGAGAGAGACCCTTTTTTTTAATTATTAAATTTTTGAAAAAAAACAATAAATCATAAGGGTATACTGGGCATTTCACAAATATTTAATCCCCATTTTTAACAGTATAAGGACCATCAATGCAACGTCTTCCATAGTTAACTAGTTGCGAGATTCATGTATTACATGAGTTAATTTAAAAAAAAAAAAGTTAAATATAAAGGTTAAAATATTTGAAAATTTTGAATTTATAAAAAAATAAGAAAAATAATGAATTATTATAATGAAAATGTTTTTTATCTTTTAAATGTAAACAAATAATTTAAATAAATAAAAGAAACTAATAAACTTTAATTTTGAGAATTTTGAAATTAAAAGGTAAGTTCATTAATGAAATTGATATCAATTTATTACTACGTTTATTGCAATTATTATATTAAAATATTATGTGGAATTTAATAAAATTGGAAAACTCATAAAATGACATGTGGAAAAAAATATAATTCAAAATAACCACAAAATGACATTTGGCAAGTTGAATGAGAGGATTAGAGAGGATGACCACCAGTGTAACAAAATCTACATAACAACCATCTGTGGCCTTTTTTGTAAGAAAAACACACGAGTCAGGCTAAATAACCCTTGTAAGTTGTGAGATACATTATACATAGCATAGGGGTATATATATATATATATATATATATATATATATATATTATATATATATATATATAATTTAAATCAATGATGCAAGGTCATCAATACCTTATGGGATGAATATATCATTCTAATTGGATAATTTCATGATCAAAGTGGCGCTTGGAGAATTCCCAAGCAAGAAGTTTTTAGCTTCAGTGGACATTTTTACTTTGTATGCAACATCCTTCCTCATGCTGGAGTCTATAGTCAAGCAAACTAAATTGCTAAAAGGTGAAGAATGGTGCAAAAACAAATCTGGAAATGAGGAAATATACTGCACAAAGAAATATGTACATTAAAGATGCATAAATAGATAAAGATTGTAATCTTTTATCAGTAGCGTATGTATGTGCAACAAAAAAAAGATTAAAAAAAAAATTGTCATACTAAAAGATTGATATGATTTCAACATATATACCTCAACAGTGTCGGCACTAAGAGTTAAATATCTGGCACTGTGGAGCTTTTGAAGCATGTTAATAGTGTTGCGAACATCTTCTTCCTTATATGCCTTGTTTGGATTATACTTACGCAGACAAAAACTCACTTTGTTTAGAGAATGAAACTGATCATTAGAGAAATGCAGAGGAACATAACACCCCAGATATGATGATGTGTAGCAAAAAGATGAAAGTTGTGGGGAAACATTCAAGTAGCCGATAGAGCAATTGACGATTCTAAGATTCTCAAGTTGAGGTGCAATCACATTGATGGTTTTTGAACAACGGCCCTCCTTAAGGATGAGATTACAAAGACGAGGTGTAATGATGTCAAATACATTGTCAACAACGAAATATTTTAAAGTGAGCTTCTTTAAGTTTATGCACTTGGAGAAAAGATCACCCCACAATGTGACGCAACTGAGGTTCAAGGTTGTTAAAGCTGGAAAGTCCAAAGGTGTTTTAGTTGTATTGCTAATCAATTTGAAATCCTTAAGAGACTGAGAGCTAAACAGGACAGTAGGGAAAACATAGCGGCTTGACTGAAGACTAACAGTTAGTTGTTGAACATTGTGAGAAAAAAGCATATTTTGCAATCTTTTTCACAAAACCCTGATTATCTTCTCCACGGAAATATAGATTCACGGAAGACACTTGTATTTGATGGTTGCGGTGGGACAAAACATGATTCACGAATTTGGCAAATTTACCTAAAACACGAAAATGGTCGGTAGAGAAGTTGAGACATGGCATCGATGTCCATAAAAACTCCCATCTAGATGACAGCAAACATGATTGAACACCAAATTTTATGTCAAAACAAGACAAGATCTTATGAATAAGCTCGTCTGGTAAGCTGCTCAGTCTATCTTCTTCTACCACTCGTTTTCTAACATTATCATGATCAAACTCCATACTCCAATCCTAATTTTCTTATGATTCCGATCAGGATTTAAGATGCTTCCTTTGGCTTCAGAAATCACAATCTCAATTCAAATAATAATCTGCAATGTAAAATTTAAATCAGTTATTTAGAGAAGAAGAAGAATATTTGTTATGAGTCGTACTGCAAACAAAGCCAACTATTTGACAAAATTCTAATTCCCATCAAATTACATGTCGAATGTTTTTGTCATCTTAAAATTTGAATCTCTGATTTCATACAATCTGATTAGGGTAGAGACATACTCACCCTCGATTAGCGCAGCGACTAGCGAAGATCTCGTCGGAAGAATGGAGAAAGAAAGTTTCCGGGGTGGGAAAAATGGAGAACGAAGTCGTCGACTGAAGAAGAATACGAGGGCCGATTATTTAAAAAAAAATTGGGCTTTGATATGGAATGAACGCTCTCTACCCGATGGGAATCAACTTTCTCTCCCACCATGAAAAGTTCCTTCATTTATAGGATTTCAATTTGGGAACTTAATAATCTAATTGTTTTTTTTTTCTGTTTTTTTTTTTTGTTTTTTTTTTTTTTTTTGGATAATCACTTAAAAGGGTAATATATTTTTTGATTTGTATATACTAGGTGTGAGACCCATATATTACATGAGTTTATTTAAAAAAAATTAAATATAAAATTTTAACAATTTGAAAAGTTTGAATTTATAAGAAAAAATGAGAATTTTTTTGCATTATTAAAATTAATGAGACTTTAATGTATTGAATACATTACATATATAAACCCTTTCTAATAAATACCTTACATATATATTACCTTACATATTAAATGTGGATTTTTAATTTAATAAAATGAAAAATACAATAAAATGACAAGTGGAAAATAGAAAATTTAAAAATTTTAGAAAATGACATGTGTCCAAATGAAGGAGAAGAGGACATGTGGCAAAAAACCTTCATTTATTAGAGTAGATTTGGTCACTGAGTTTTTTTTTCGTCCACATTTACCCCTTCAACTTGTTAAACTATACACATTCAACCCTTATGACCGGTTACTTTAGGTTAGCCGAGAAAAATGACTTAATAGAGTAATATATTTCTCATTTTGTACACATTTAGTCCTTAATATTTTTGTACACATTTAGTTCTTAATATTTTTTTGTTTCAAAATAAGACATTTTTGTTTTTGTACATATTCAGTACTTATGAATGTTTTCTTTAGGTTTTTCTCACGACATCTTACGTGGGACAATCATTGATGAAGTGTGTGGGGTTGTTGATATTTATGTGTAATGTCTCATTTTCACAACCAAAAAATTTCATTTTAAAATAAGGCAAAACTCCCTGATTATAAATCCATTATTAAGAAAAAAATGTTTATTCCAAAATACATTTATCGAAAATCAGAGTAATGTAAGAAACACGGAATCCTCAATATTGTTGATGAGTGTGTACAATCATGTATTAGTCTTCCCACGATCAACGATAGAACCTGAAAACATAAACAACTGGGTAAGCACAAAGTTTAGTGAGTTTCCCCTAAAATACTCGATACAACAAACGTATTATCACGCATAACGGGCCCACACGCATCAGATTGGAATACATTGGCCCAATCAGTCATCGGACTGGAATGCCAACATGCAACAGGTCCAATCAGTCATCAGACTAGAATACCCAGGGTTTGTTGGCATGCCGCCTTAACCCAACCGCTCTTCTCGAGCCTCTGTGCCTACAGCTTATAGCCGGCCCGCACCAGGTATCTTGGCCTATAACATATAGCAGGACCACCTCAACCTATCCCACCACCATATGGCTATCCCACATAAGAAGTCGTGAGAAAAACCTAAAGAAATCATTCATAAGCACTGAATTGATACAAAAACAAAAATGACTTATTTTGCAACAATAAAAATATTAAGAACTAAATGTGTACAAAAATATTAAGGACTAAATGTGTACAAAGTGAGAAATATATTACCCTATTAAGTCATTTTTACAAGCTAACCTGGAGTAGTCGGTCATAAGGACTAAATGTGTACAGTTTAACAAGTTGAAAGGGTAAATGTGGACGAAAAAAAAAACTCAGTGACTAAATGTGTACAAATCGAAAAATATATTACCCTTTTAAGTCATTATCCCTTTCTTTTTTTTAAGAAAACCTAGAAAACCCCAAAATATTATCAAAAAACCACTATATTATTTTTAGTCCATTAAAACCCTTATATTTTATGAAATTTTTATAGGGAAAATGATTTGCGAGGGTAATTACTTTTTCGTATTGTTCATATTTAGATAACTTCATTTTTTTGTATACATTTGACCATTTAACTTGTTAAATGTGTTCACATATTACAATTGTCACCTGCTATAGCAAGTGACAATGATAATATGTGAACACATTTAACAAGTTAAATGGTCAAATATGTACAAAAAAAAGTTGTATAAATGTGAACAATTTTTTATTTTTTTTTTACAAATTTCTTAAGATTTTTTTTATAATTCTTTACAACATTTTTATGATATTTTTTCCTATAGATTTTTCTAATACAATGTTTAAAACGTTGCTTATAATTTCTTTTACATTTTTTTATACGTTCATATAATTTTAATACAAATGCTTTTAAATCAAATATTTTATAAATGTTTTAAATTTTTCTTACAAGTTTTTAACTTCTTTTTTTTTTTTTTTTTTACATTTTTATACAATTTTCTTATAAGTTTCGTGCATTTATTTTTAAACTTTCTTTTACAACATTTTTAAAGTTTTTCACAGATTTTGTATGACAATTTAATATTTTTTATAACATTTTAAAATGCTTTTGTTAAATACTAGTTTAAAACGTTGTATTAAAAAAATTAAAAGTTTATAAACTTCTAATTAAAAAGTATTAAGAAGTTGGAATAATTTTAAAACATTTACATTATATAGATTTTTTTGGTTTTTTATTTGCTAAGTAATATTTATTTTTTTTAAATACCCTACATACTTATTGTTACATATTTAATTTACTTAATTTTATTGTTAAATACTATTTACTTTAAAAAGATTGTATATGCTTAAAAACAAAAGAAAAAAAAATTATAAGAGGCTATATAAAATATTTCACAAAACAAAAGCATATTTATTAGTTAAAAAATAAAGTTTAAAATTGATCAATAATTAATTATTATTTAGGAAATTATGGATATTTTAAAAATAACATTTGAAAAAAATAATACAAACAAATATGAAAAATAAAATCGTTATTAAAAGCAGGGAAAATGACTTATCAGGATAATTAACTTTTCGTTTTTTCACATTTAGACAACTTTCTTTTTTTGTATACATTTAACCATTTAACTTGTTAATTTGTTCACATATTACCATTGTCACTTGCTATAGCCGATGACAATAACAATATGTGAACACATATAACAAGTTAAATGGTCAAATGTGTACAAAAATAAAGAAGTTACCTAAATATGAACAAGGCGACAAAG